ATACTTTGCAATTTTATATAATCTGATTTTTTTCCCTTTCTTTTTGGTACATGCTGATTTCTCTTCTTGAAATTCTGCCACTTTTCTCTCTTAGTTAACTCAATCTTTTAAACTAACCTCAGATGTGCCTCTTTCCTGGAAGCTTCTGTGCTTCCCCCCAGTTAGCGTTAAATGCCTCTATAGCTCTGGAAACACCCGTATCAAGCCCCGTTACAACATACTATAACTCTAACACAGAAATCTGTTTACTACTCAGCCTGCCACAGAGATCTGTGAGGGACTGTATTTTAAATTTCCGTATCCTGGGTGCCTAGCATAGTACTTGTCTACATAATACATGTTCCATAAATACTTGTGGACTAAATGAATTGAGTACATTTTGATTTTGCAATGGACTGCTCTTCCCAAACCAAGAAAATCTAATCTAATTTAAGGCCATTCCAAAGCAATTGAACATGGATATATTTTGAAAGAAGCACACTAGATATCCAAATATGTCTTTGATATATATAAAATCAACAAAGCAATAACAATGAAATTGTAAAAAAAAAAAAAAAAAAATCAAGCGATAAATCAGTAATAATAAACCCAGGACTCCTACTCTCAAGAATTAGATAGTTAAGACACAGACACATAACATTATGAATAATAATAAAGGAGGAGAAGATAACACACTGAGAGATGAAATACTATAAGGTTGTATGGGTAAACAGGGAAACAACTAGCATAAAATATATTTACTAGGAGATCAGAGGATTCTGGGATCTTCTGGGGGTAGAAGGAGAAGGAAGTTTCTAGGCAATGGATAAGATTTGAACTAGGCAGTATATGAGTGGTGGACAGCAGTGACTCTGGAAAATACCCCGTAGGTTCGAACTCCTCAGTCACATCTCACCTTCATCTGTGTCCTCTTGGGCAAATTTTAGTTGCCCCACCTATACATTTGATTTAGTAATGATACTTAATTTATGTGGGTATTGTGAGGATTAAAATAAGCAACATGTTTATAGAGATTAGAACTGTGCCTGGCATATAACACTTTATTACATATGATATACTTACCTTAGAAAATGGGGGGGGCGTTGAGTCTCAGCAGAGACATAAGATATGTTTGGGAGCCAATAAAGGGAGTTTGTGTGGGGAAATTGTGGGAGGTAAGACTGGAAAGCTGTTTTGGATTCTTAGTGAGGACCCAAAAAGTCAGCCGTAGCCAGCATTGAGGGCAAACAGAGATTAGGTGACTGTATGTCTTAGTTTCCCCTGTGGTTTAACTAGTGCCTTGGTCTAATTCTTAGGACACCTCTTACTTTCCCAAGTGTCTTATTTGGATAAAAGATATCTAAAAAACTGATATGTAAACAGGGGTCATAGGGATTTGTGGAGATTGTCTGGCATAAATATGTAACATGCACTCAGAAAAACATTTCATGGGTTGGTAACAAGCTGTTGCATGTTTGTTTAAAATCATATATGTCTCCACGGAATCATAAAAACCCAGTACTGAAAGGGGCCTGGAGATACATGGTAGAGTTCCTTCTTCATTTTTTTATTGGCACATTGTAATTCACTTTCAGTGTACTTGGAAATGTTCGAAGAAATATGTGAAGCTGAGTTTTTTTTGTATAAACAACAACAACAAACAAACAAAACACAAAAAATAGGAGGAAGTCAAAGCTCATGGCAAATAAACTACAAATAGCTCAAGCACATGGGAAGTCCTTTACTTCATATTCAAATGACAGCCCTGAACTATTTTCATATGCCAGATTTGGAATACATTGTCATATACATTTGTCAATAGTTGGTTTGGACAGTGACAACACCATTACGTGGCAGTGTTTGTGAAGTGATGTCAACATTCTACACTTTGCTCTTATTATCTAATGAATATAATTGAGAAATTGGGAAACTAAAGTCCTGATACCAGTGATATGAAACATGGTTCTTATGAGTTTAATAAGGCAAAATTTGAAATCAGAGTTGGGCTTAAAAGAACAAATCAATCTAGTGTTGAGTCAACCTATGTCCACTCACTGGGCAGGAGTAAGTGATGTGGGACAGGCCTTCCATGAGCCCTGTTGGCTTGTACCGGCTTGAAGCTGGTCAGAACCCATGCTGAGCTGGTCACCACAGTGGGGAATGGGATATGTGAGATGTGACACCATGAAGATCTGAAGTGGTATGTGAGAGGTGTCTGGTACAGAATCTTTAGATTGCATTGGTATTTTCTTTCTTTTTTTTTTTTTTAAAGATTTTTATTTATTTATTTGAGAGAGAGAGAATGAGAGAGAGAGAGAGCACATGAGAGGGGGGCGGGTCAGAGGGAGAAGCAGACTCCCCGCCGAGCAGGGAGCCCGATGCGGGACTCAATCCAGGGACTCCAGGATCATGACCTGAGCCGAAGGCAGTCGCTTAACCGACAGAGCCACCCAGGCGCCCCCCAGTGTACTCTTTAAAAAAAAAAAAAATTATTTATTTGAGAGGGAGAGAGAGAGCATGAGCAGGGGGAGAGGTAGACGGAGAGGGAAAGGCAGACTTCCCCGCCGAGCAGGGAGCCCGATGCAGGACTCGATCCTGGGACTCCAGGATCATGACCTGAGCCGAAGGCAGTCACTTAACCGACTGAGCCACCCAGGCGCCCCTGCATTGGTATTTTCATTTCACCTATACTAACTTCTTTGAGTTTGGTTCATTTTCTTGAAATGAAGGTGCAGGGTCACCTTGAATGGAAGAATATTTCTTTCTCTCTCTACACTGACCAGTCTGGTAGTTTTTGGCACCACATCTTAAATGGTTACTTAAGACTTTTGTTCTCTGGTGATACTGGGTATGTTTTATATCCAATTACAAAAGCAGGAGGTAGCTTGGCTCAGGTTCTGTTTGCAGGGCTCTGTCTTGCTACATTTTGTATAAGCTATATTTCTAGGAAGCTAATGAGGTTATTTTTTTTCCCCCAGGTACCTGTCAGGAGATGATAAGTCCTAGCCTAGCCCCATTTCAAGTAATGAGTCTGGCTTTAGTCTATTGCTGTGGGAACTATGTGACTTCATCCCCACCTACCACTTTGTTTCTGTTTCTGGTCCTTGATATGAATATCATGTTTTGATTTTTTTTCTCAAAAAATCTACTCTTTTTCATTTTAATCTCCCATACTACTTGGAGCATTGAGTTGGGGCGTATCTATACCTAAAGTTACAATGCTATCTTGACTGGGCATCTCTTGGAAAAATGATTTTAAACAGATAATTTTCCTTCCAGGCAAACTACTAATCAAGTATAAGTGTAGAACAAAAATGTTTCCATACGTGCCAAGATTCAGGAGCATTTGCCTTGCTCATATCTTTAAAAAAAAAATTAAACATGCACTTTTACAAAAAAGGAAGGTACAAACCAAGATATGAGAAGATTTGGAATTTAGGAAACATCGTGGGTTACCTGAGATACATAGACACATTAATCAAGAGAAAAGAAAATAAATTATAAACATCAGGTAAAACCACAAGCTAAAAAATAGTCATGACCCAGTATGTAGCACATGAAAATTCATCATTTTGAGATGGTAGTCAATGTTTTTTGGTCTTTCACGGCAGCAACATTTTGAAGAATACAGTTATTTAGTAGAACATCCCTCAATCTGGGTTTCTCTGATGTTTCCTCATGATTAGATTCAGGTTACACCTTTTTGGCTAGGATATTAGGTAAGTGATGTATCTTTCTGGGGGTATCATATCTGAAGGCACATGTCCATTTATTCCTTATGAATAATATTACTTGTGATTACTTTATTACAGTGTTGTCTAGTATTCCACTGTATTTTTGTTATTTTATTTTATTTTATTTTTTCAGGTTCCTTGTTTTTTATTTTGTTTTATTTTTGTTTTCATTGTTGTTTTTTATTATGTTCAATTAGCCAACATATAGTACATCATAGGTTTTGATGTAGTGTTCAACAATTCATTAGTTGAATATAATACCCAGTGCCCATCACAATACATGCCCTCCTTAATACCCATCACCCAGTAACCCCATCCCCCCACAGTCCTCCCCTCTGTTACCCTCAGTTTTTTTTCCCGGAGTCCAGAGCCTCTCATGGTTTGTCTCCCTCTTTGATTTCTTCCCATTCAGTTTTCCCTCCATTCCCCTATGGTCCTCTGTGCTATTCCTTATATTCCACATATGAGTGAAACCATATGATAATTGTCTTTCTCTGCTTGACTTATTTCACTTAGCATAATCTGCTCCAGTTCCATCCATGTCAATGCAAATGGTAGGTATTCATCATTTCTGATGGCTGAGTGATATTACATTGTATATATGAACCACATCTTCTTTATCCATTCATCTGTTGAAGGACATTTGGGCTCCTTCCATGGTTTAGCTATTGTGGACATTGCTGCTATGAACACTGGGGTGCATGTGCCCCTTCTTTTCATTACATCTGTATCTTTGGGGTAAATACCTAGGAGTGCAATTCCTAGAGCAGGTCGTAGCTCTATTTTTTACATCTCGAGGAACCTCCATACTGTTTTCCAGAGTGGCTGTACCAGCTTGCATTCCCACAAACAGTGTAAGAAGGTTCCCCTTTCTCCACATCCTCCCCAACATTTGTTGTTTCCTATCTTGTTAATTTTTGCCATTCTAACTGGTGTGAGGTAGTATCTCATTGTGGTTTTGATTTATATTTCCCTGATGGATAATGATGTTGAACATTTTTTCATGTGTCTGTTAACCATTTCTGTGTCTTCTTTGGACGAGTGTCTGTTCATGTCTTCTGCCCATTTCTTGACTGGATTGTTTGGGGTTTTTTGGGTGTTGAGTTTGAGAAGTTCTTTATAGATCTTGCATACCAGACCTTTACCCATAATGTCATTTGCAAATATCTTCTCCCATTCCGTGGGTTGCCTCTTAGTTTTGTTGACTGTTTCCTTTGCTGTGCAGAAGCTTTTTATCTTGATGAAGTCCCAAAAGTTCATTTTTGCTTTTATTTCCCTTGCCTTTAGAGACATGTCTTGAAAGAAGTTGCTGTGGCTGCTGTTGAAGAGGTTACTGCCTATGTTCTCCTCTAGGATTTTAATGGATTCCTGTCTCACATTGAGGTTTTTCATCTCTTTTGAGTTTATCTTTGTGTATGGTGTAAAAGAACGGTCCACTTTCATTCTTCTGCATGTGGCAGTCCAATTTTCCCAACACCACTTGTTGAAGAGACTGTCTTTTTTCCATTGGATATTCTTTCCTGCTTTGTCGAAGATTAGTTGACCGTAGAGTTGAGGGTCCATTTCTGGGCTCTGTATTCTGTTAATAAATAATTTATTGGGAGATACCTTGAAGCTCTGTGATTATCTTGTTACTCATCAAGCTTTTACACACAAGATTAAGTACACATTGGTGATTTTTGCCTAAATAAATTTTTAGGATTATGTTTGCACAATGATGATTTTCCTACAGTGATTAGTATTCTTCTGTAAGGAAGATTTTGTTTCTCCTTTGTTTATAGGTTTATTTATCCATCTATTTATTATTAGTATGTAAACTGTGGATTCTTATTCACTGGGCTATAATCCATCACTGTCCTTATTTATTTTAATGCTTTAAATCTTCCAGTTTTGCCAGTAGGAGCCCCTTAAACTGGCACTGGTGTGTTTCTGACATGCCCCAATCAATTTTTTAAGCATTTCCTGACTTTTTGGCATAAGGTATTCCAAGATCACTTTATACCTTCTCTGCTCATCCCAGGAATCAACCATTTCTTCAAAGAGCCTTGGTACCTTTTGGTGCAGAATGGCATTAGGAAACCAAAATCTGGGTAGTAGGTTTGCTCACTGCTGCTCGTCTGTCATTACTTGCCTGTCGTTTCAGTGAACAAAGCTAATGATCATGGTGGAGGGAGCTCTGTTGTAATTTGGATTTTTTTCTAGTTAATTTGAAGCTTATGCTATTCTTTCCCTCCTAGGAATGCTGATGCATGGAATGTGTCATTTTATTTTTGCTCCTTGTTGATCTTACTTTTGGCGGGGAGGGTGTGTCCAGTGATTTGGACTCAGAAAGCCACCAGTAGGGGCGCCTGGGTGACTCAGTTGGTTAAGCAGCTGCCTTCAGCTCAGGTCATGATCCAAGGGTCCTGGGATCAAGCCCCACATTGGGCTCTCTGCTCAGTGGGAGCCTGCTTCTCCCTCTCCTCCCTGCTCATGCTCTCTCTTGCTATCTCTGTCACTATCTGTCTCTCTCTCTCTCAAATAAATAAATAAAATCTTTAAAAAATTAAATAAATAAAGCCACCATTATGAGTGCTGACCAGAACCTCTGAGATCCAGTCTTTTGGTGTCTTCTTTATTCAGGGCACTTTCAGTCTCCAGGGTAATTAAAATTTAAATGGAGGTTTTCAACGAATTAATGTACATGCTGATAAAAACTTCAAGACAGGAAATTTATGCTCTATCTCCATACGATCTTTTACCTTAATGGTGTGTGGTTGCTTTAGGGTCAGAGAAGAAAGCTTAGGGGGAAATAAAGCTAAGGATTACTTCCTTAAAAAGAACACTGTAATTTGCTTTTATACATTGTCTTCAGAGGATGCTAATGTTTTCCCAATACATTTGGTATTTTCTCTTTCTCTTTCTTTCTTTCTGTGTGTGTGTGTGTGTGTGTATCCAAAACTATAATCCTTGGCATTTATGAAAGTCTCATCTGATTTTATTGTAGAAAGCAGAAAAAGAGAGAGGAGGGAAAAAAGTATCCCACTTCCTCCAGTATTGATAGCACAAATGAGAACTTAGCGTTACATTCCAATGAGATTGCGGCTTTCATTAATTTCACACTCATAGCTGATGAATGAGAATTGTTTTGCTGTACGAGGCAGACTGCTCCTGCAGAGTAATTAATCCCAAATGAAGGGTTGGAAAAACAGCCACTGAAAATGCTCGATGTCTGCAGCTCAGCTGAGACTCGCGAGCGAGCGAGGGCTTTACTGGCAGCCATTCGTGACTTTATGATTCCTCTCACTTACACAGGGAGAGTGACACATGGAGCCACTGACCCTCATTTTAATTAAATAGACTCCGAAACAGGTGGCCAGTCAGGTTGAAGGAGGGACAGAGGGCTTCTTAGATAAGAGCTTTTTAGAGCAAATACGTTACACTGTAAATGAAGCTGTCCTGAGGAGAAAGGCTACCTCAATATTTCTGGCTAGAATGAGAACAACTGGGATTATGAAGCACAAACCATAGTCCTCTGACAGGGAAACAAGATGGGAATTAGACAAAGTGATGGGAAGGAAGGAAGTCCAGGAAAGAGGCACCTTAATGTTTGTTTTTTTAACGTTATGAGATCTGATATGGAACCCCACTGGTGAGTATGTGTTTTACGATCCCAACACTGCCAGTGCTGACTTATATCTGAGTATGGATCCAGTGGTTTGAAATCAGTTTTATATGCACATAATATTTCTCCGGAAGTCACCCTGGTGAGTATCTCCCCTGCCACATCAGCCTCACCTTCAAGAAGGCGTAAACCTGGGGTCACAGTCATGTATTTCTTGAGCAACTCCAGCCCTAAAAAGGTTTATTTTTTCCTTGGAAAGTTCCCGAAAAGAGTTGAGCCTCCTTGCTTCTCAACATCTCATGTAAGGACCAGCAGCTGCACCTGGAACTTTACTGTAAGAAACAGAATTTTTGGTTCCACCGGACCTAGGGAACCAGAGTTGCATTTTTAACAAGATGCCTAGGGGACTCCTTTGCAAACCACAGTTGGAGAAGCATGGTATGAGAGGACTGGATCTCACCATTGACTTTATGGTAACCCTCCATTTTCTTCCCCTCATTCCAGCTCCATTTTCTGCCTCCCACTGTTGCTGGTCACAGGCATGGTTCCTTAATGTTTCGGGTTTGTCTGTCTTGTTCCCTTCTAGATTGTATGTTCCCCAAGAGCATGTCTTATATCTGCCAGAGCTCCATTTTACTTGGCTTTCAGTAACTATTGGCTATAATCAGTTAACTGGTAGATTTGATTGATTAAAGAGTGAGAACTGGAAAAAACAAACAAACAAACAAACAAACCATGGAAACACCCCCTGCTTCTGCCCCTGATGAAGCTCTTTGTGCTTTGTGTTGAAGGAGCAGATGACAGCACAAAGGATACTTGTCCCCATCTCCTCCACCCACCATGCTACCTCCCATCAATTTTATAACAAATTCCTGTGCTTTGACCATCTCTCTTCTGATACCGGAGTTCTTTCCCAGTAGGTGCCTGAGTTTACTCGCATGAATAAAGCGCTAAAACATTCTCCCCCTCACATCTTTTATACATGCTAAACCTTGGGGTGAATCTGTCTCAGGTTCAAGCTGGGAGCTCCACTAGCTGACATTTTAATAATAACTATCATATGACTTAATAATACTCTGGGTTAAAAAAAAAACCCTCTATTAGTTGCTAATATTTCTAAATCAGGAGATTTTACACAAATACAGATTAGTAGCATCTCTTGACACATCTGGGCCTGCATTTCCTCAGGTGACATTAGGTAGAGGTGTAGCGGCTGCCTGGTCAGACAGGGTTGCACTTTCCAAGATGCCACTTTTTCTATTCCTCTTTATTAAGTCTCTAACCCCAAGTTCAAGAGTCCTTGGTATTTATCCTCATATCTACTCTGTTGGTTTTTTATACCTGTCCAAATCCCTCCTGTTTCCATTGCCTGCTTATCTCTCATGGGCATTTGAATTCAAGGCCATAGGCCAGCTTCTGAGTCTCCTTTCTTGGACATGGTATTTTTAAAGTGTGCCATTTTCTTTTGCTTTCCATTTTATAAAGGTGCACTATAAAATGTCATTCCTTTCCAGGGTATACCTGGGGTACTGTGATTCCAAACACAGAAAGATTCACACCTTTCACATCAGTGCTTTCAGAATTGGGAGTTTGACAGGATGTAAGAATACATTTGAATGATATAGAAACCCTTGATTGCTCTCACTGGACCCTTTAGAATACACTAAACCGGGGCGTCTGGGTAGCTCAGTTGTTAGGCGTCCGCCTTTAGCTCAGGTCATGATCTCGGGGTCCTGGGATCGAGCCCCGCATCGGGCTCCCTGCTCCACGGGAAGCCTGCTTCTCCCTCTCCCACTCCCCCTGCTTGTGTTCCTGCTCTCGCTATCTCTCTCTCTGTCAAATAAATAAATAAAATCTTAAAAAAAATTATTAGAATACACTAAACCAGTGGGCACTGGCCATTTCCAAGAACATATTATGTACTGAGTTAAAAAAAAAAAATCAATTCCCCAAACCCACTCTTTATTTTCTTCCTGGAGCTTAAAATTTTAATTTCTAGGGGTGTACATTTCTATAATAGTTCTTCTCCACTTCCATTATGGATTTGGAAATCTATCCTTGACTTCTGTAACTCTCAAGGAGACTGATGCGTATTACTACTGGTTTGCTTTGGAAGATATGGAGTGTGTAGAATTATCACATATATCTCCAGCACGCCTGTGGAGGGTCTCCACAAAGCAAGGCATTATGGCTTTTGTGGCACCAGGGAAAGGACCCTAGATCTCGGAGAGAGCAGCAAAAAGTCTGGCCTGTGTGAGAAGAGAAGGCAGGGAGTTAGGCACTGCTGACTGTCTGAGGGAGGGCTTTTCCACAGTGTGCTTCTTCTGCACTTCTGGCAGGAAGAGTTGATTATAGGACAAGGTGACTGACAAGACAGATGACTTCTAGGACTGGCTGCCTTACTTGGAGTCAGCAATTGGAAAGGTGAAGGGGGAGGTGTGTGGGGGGGAAGATGAGCCCTGAGCACAAACAGTGAATACATTCCTTGGCAGTCACCCCAACTAAAGAGAAAAATTTAATATTTCTAATCATATGCTTACCCATTCAGCCAAAAAGACTTTTATTTTACAGCTTATAATGAACTAGTGTGAGAACTAATTTGCTTCCCCTGCCATCTGCCCTTAGTGCACGCATCAGACAGAACAGCATTCAAAACCAATTACTAAATTATGATATATGTGTTGGGATAAGGTGTCACGTAGAAATAGCAAATAGCAGTGTAACGTGTGGCAATCATACCTAGAGGAGCTGGAAGCTTAGAGAATGTGTTCCCATGGTA